TAAAAATTCTTTACTGCACTCTTGTTCGTTCTAATATGGAATATGCAGCTGTGGTCTGGAACCCTTATTGTTGCATTCACATTAATAGACTTGAAACGGTTCAATATAGGTTTCTGAGATGCTCAGCATATAAATCAGGAGTGCGTATAAATAATTACGATTATGATTATGCTAACCTATGTTCCAGATTAGAGATCACAACTTTGCAGAACCGGAGAACTTAATTAGATCTATGCTTCCTATTGAAACTTTTGTCTGGGTCAATATATTCTCCTGATATTTTATTAAAAATTGGTCTTAAAATTAATAGTGCAACCAGAGCTAATGAAACTTTTTTTATTAGACACCATAGACAAAATTACGGCTTTTATAGTCCATCAACACGATTGGTTAGGAGTGCTAACAGTATAGAAATAGACTTGGATTTTTTTGGTTTGTCATATCCTTCATTTAAAAGAAGTATTGCTTACCACTTTCTTAATGACACTTGAAAGTACTGTTATTGTCTGCCTCGTTAATCAAATATTTTAATCATATGTTTTAATCAAATGTTTTACATGATACAATTTTTGATGTTGTTTTTTATTTTGTATTTGTGCATATAACATATATTTTTTATTGTAAAAATGGGGTTTTCCCGTAAATAAATAAATAAATAAACTAGTCGAAAAAGAAATTCCAACATTACCTTGGCAAATTGTCGGAACTGACTTCTTCAAGGTAGGAAAATACGATTATATCTTAATTTGTGACAGTTATTCTGGATACTTTGATTTTAAAAATTAAAATATGCTACATCTACGGAAATTATAAACATTTTCAAGAAATTGTTTTCCGTACATGGTATCCCGAACATTTTAGAAAGCGACAACGGTTCTCAGTATACCTCTGCTAAATTTAAGACCTTTCTCAAGTAGTCTTGGAATGTGCTAAGGAAACTATCGAGGTAGTTAAAGAAAACTCTCGAGCTCGATAACGAAACCTTAGTGGTTGCCAACGAACCTTTAGAGCTTACCATGGGCGCTCGAGGTTGCTAAGGAAACTCTTGAGATCGCTATTCGAAACTTTAGGAAAAGTCAAGGAAACTCTCAAGGTTGCTTAGAAAACTCTCGTGGTCGCTAACGAAACTCGAGGTTGCTAAAGAAATTTTACAGATTGTTCATGAACATTACATTTAAAAGTAATATAATTAACAATCTTAGTTATTGAAACTGACTCTTGAGGTTGTTAAGGAAACTTCGAAGAAGTAGAGAGGGTAGAATAATAAGGTAGTGTCTGCGCATCCATCACGAGTGTAGAAATTATGCATGATTCAACCTTCCATTCTAACATACGTAAATGACAATGAGAAATTATCCTAAAGCACTGTAAACAAATTCCAGTATTGGCTTTTCAGTGATTATGTTCATGTTCGGCCCTGTTTTTTGTTTGTGTTATGGCTATTGTAAGCTTTTTGGCGTCAATTCTTTGTTATCTTGCTTATATTTGTGATTTTTTGTGCTTCGATTTCGATTTACTATTAAATTGTACGTGTAAATTATTTTCCTATCCACTATTTTAAAATTGTTGCACAAAATGTTGTTAAACCGTCCCTCAATCTTGTCCACAAAACGTGCAAAACGAAATTGTGCATAGTGTCTATACTTTTTCATTGACAGTTTGAGGTCGCTAAGGAAACTATCGATGTGGTCAAGGAGACTCGCTAACGAAACTTTAAATGTTGCTAAGAAAACTTAAGATGTTATCAAGGAAAGTCTTTTGGTTGCTAAGGAAACTCTCGTGGTCACTAAACGAAACTTTAGAGATTGCCCATAGACATCATATTATCTAAGATTCTAAGACTCGCCCTACACACTGTATACCCAATACACCTTCTGTTCGCATGTTTTACCAGACGGGGAAAGGGGAATCGTACGTCGCACATTGACGTAGTGTTCGGGAGGGTTTACATATATTTTTAGTAAAAATTATTTAATGACCAAATCAATAACCTATGGGTCTTCGGAATCAAAGGTAAATTTAAAGAAAACATATTTAATTTATACAGGGCATTCAAAAAGTAATTTTATATATTTTCTTATAGTTTAAAATAGTAGGTAGCTCAAAGTGGAAGAACATTTTTGTTAGTATTTTATTATATATATATTTTTTTTAAATACATAAAGAGCAAAGAGCAAGTAAAAATATAAAGCCATTTATTATTATATTTACATGGGTCCTCTTTAAAAACCTTTTCTACAGGTCGAAAAAAGAATAATTATATTGCCGGACTACCTTTTTTTATGAAATAAAAAGCTATTAAAAACAGAATAATTTTATTTCAGATACATAAATATACAAATATGATCTTTCTATTACATACCATTTGGGTTGCATGTCACGACACCTATTTTTAGAATTATTTGTGTAATGATATAATAACTCATTTAGGACAGTAATCAGCAATGATTTTATAATATCTGGACAAGGCTAAAACACATTAGCTTAAGATTATCAAGAGATACTTTATTTCTAATTTGTCCGAATAGAAAAAACACTAAAGGAAACTTCTTTTGTGACATTTCGAATGTCATTTTAGTATCAATGGTTACTCCTACGAATACTCTTGGTGAACAATCTGCTCAATAGATTTATTTAGTGTTATAAGATAACTGATATTTTGTAAAGCATATTTTGGAATAAAAGACAAAATAATTATTTGTGTATTAAGAACAGAAAGTAGCACCTTTGACAGTTGAGACAGAAAGTCTGTCGAAGAAAAAAGATTTATTTTATATTTATTCAAAAAGGAGGAAAAATACAATATCAAAACTGTTATCTCAGTCATCATTTTCAGTATGTGTGTTTTTCCAACTGACCATAGTAACTGGCCATTATTTTGTTATTGAGATGAAAACCCGTACGAGTCGCAGATATGTACGGTCTTTCACCTAATTTCACGGGTATAATCAGCTGTACTACATTAACAGCTAGGTATCTAGTACGGTTATGTCATTTTGGTTCCACTGACATTTAATTCTAACCAAACTTTTAACAGAAACATCAATAAATTTGACATATACGTTTTTACTGTTTTTATTTTATTTCAAAATATTGTTTACAGGTCATAAAAAATAGTTTAAAGGTATATAATTGGTAACTAAACGATTGTATATTTGATACATGCTATTTACTTACTTTAGGAATATATTAATAAAAGTGAAAAAAACGATATAATTTAGGTAAACAAAACGAACAAAACGCACTCAAAAAATCTACTGTCACTTTAATTGTCAGTGGAACCATAATTATATCATCACTGAACTAGCGCATCGATGAAGAGACAAATTTTAAACGAAATGGCTTATTTTGAAATGTCAAATTTGAGACTTGTACGGTTTTCGAACTCACTGGTTCAATTGCAGAACACTGTTTGCAGTGAATCTTTTTCTTTAAGGATTTTACTATAAAACCAGAAATATAAGCAACTACATCCTGAATGTATTCGCTCAGAAAATATATAGATAGGTAATCATGGTCACGAAGCTCATTTGTAAATTCCAAATTTTCTTTAGTGTCTGATTCGTAACATTTTAAATTTAACGCAATTTGGCTACTAGTGTTACTACAATCCAAGATGCTGGTGCCATCTAAAGCAATTGCATTGGCAGTTTTATTTGACTTTAATTCATTATGAATTAATAATTTTTTATAACAATTTTGAAACAATCTCCATGTGAGATTGTTATTGAAGCATTTGTTACGAACGGCACTAAAAAAAGTATTTTTGTTTTCTTCATTTTTCGCCTATTCAACTACCTCTCCCAAAATTCTGTAAAATGTGATGATTACTGTATAATTTTAGAGCTTACATATAATAAAAATACCCATAATAAATACTGTACTTACTTGATAGGTATAGCATTGTTTTAAGATGTGTCTACCACTTAAATTTTCATAAATATCTGCCATACAAAAATGGTCAGAACATATACTAAGGCTTCTTTCATTTTCATAATGTTTTCCTCCACCAAGCATAGATTTTGCAGCCAAATTCTACGTTGAATAATTTCTCTAGGAAACCTGATCAGAAAATATAGAACATTATTATTTAAATAAACAATGCTAGTGCTAAATGCCTTTACACTGTTAAATAAATTAAGCCTTATTCCCTGTATATGCCTACGTCTATGCTAACATAATCTTATTTATGAAATGACCGAATAACATTCTTATTCTGCGTATTTCGGCACACTATACATTTCCTCCCCATCGTAAAAGTCCTTAATAAAAAGTTCAGGGTTTAAATTATTCTTGAAAACTACAAAAAACCACAAAAATCACAATAAAACTTGATCTGTCACTTTGACAACATCAGCAAAATGTCTTAGGTTGCCAAAGTTAAATGATTTATACCAAAATGTTTAATATTCCCATATGATACACATGTAAAAATAGCTACTTAAAAGTCTTAAGTGATTGCAATTAATAAAAAACTCATATCGATGCTTTCAATTCTTTATTTCCTTTTTTTATTAGATTGTATTAAAGGTAATAGTAACTTTTTAAATAAAAATTTAATGTTTGATATTTGATGAAAGAGATCTGACAACATAGGAAGAGCGTACCGTCAAGAAAAAGTTGCGAACAAATGTAATGTATACAATGCGTATCTATTATCCGATATCTTTGAGATTGCCAAGGACCTCTCGAGGTTGCTTAGGAAACTCTCGAGGTTGCTTAGAAAACTCTCGAGGTTGCCAACGTAATTCTACAGATTGTGAATGAAATTATATTTAAAAGTAATAATTATTAACGATCTTGGTTATTAAAACTGAGTCTCGAGGTTGCTAAGGAAACTCTCGAAGTCGCTAACGAAATTTTCTAGTTTGCTTACGTAACTTTCGAGGTTGTTATGGAAACTCTTGAAATTGCTAAGGAAACTCTCGAGGTCGCTAATTTTAAAGTTTGTTGTGTTCATTAGTAATATTTATTAACAAATTCTTTATTTATTTTTTCAGGGAGCTTCCGTTGGTATGATCGCAGGACACATGGTCACGCTGTGGATTACGTTTGGAGGTTTAACGATTGAAAAACCACCAGCAAACTATCTAGATTTACATACCGATGGATGCAGCAATTCTTCATTCAACCCTCACATTTTATTACCCGAACATAACGTTCTAAGCTGGACGCCGACTACAACTCCTTTACCTTACTTCATCTACAACGACACGCATAGTCTGTTGAACACTACTAGAGCCGCTCCTTCGTAAGTTTTGATTATAAAATAAAATTACATAGGGGAACGGCGGATAGTACGGGCCACTTAAGCAAAAATACATACATATTTTTTATTTTTATTTTTTTGTGTTCGAAAACTGCACAGGACCTCCCTTTAAACCTTTTTTAACTAGTAATTAACAAAATAAAACATATTTTTGAGATACAAAATGAACCACAGAAAGTTTTCCCAGTGTTGCCATTTTGGTACTGCAAAAAAATGGCGGGTGGTACGGGCCATACCAAATTACGTAACTATAACAATAAAAAAAATAATGTTTGTTGTTGGTAAATCAAACAAAAAAAAAAGATTCACAAAAAAATTCCCAGTGTTGTCATTTTGGCATTTTGAAAAAATGGCGGATAGTACGGGCCATCTTAAATTAGGTAGCTATAGAAATAAAAAATAAATATATTGTTGTTTGCAAACATATAATTAAAAAAAAAAATACATTTTTTATTAATTTATTTTGCAATGGTCGCAGTAGTAGTAAAGTTTGTTATCAATAACTGCACAAAGTTCATGTGACCAGCCCTGACAACGTTTGCACTGAATCCAGTTTTCTTCAAAACATTCACCACAAACAAGACACTCGGTCTTATTTTCTTTTGAAAAGTCCGTTGTTGTTGCAATCTGCTTGGACGTCCCTGGAGTCGATTTCGTATGATCAGTCGATTTATTGATTTGCTGCTTTTTTTGTTTGACCACCTTTGTCGGCAACTTACCTGCACATTGTTCAAATGTTATATTTCTTTTCTTTTTCTTAGCAGCTTCCAACTTCCAAATTTTTCTTCTCTATCAACATATCTTTATTTGGCGATGAAGTCAATATTTCACTTTTTGCTGCTTTCCTTTTTCTAGTTGTAACCCTCTTTTCAGAGCATGAAGGCAAAGGAGAAAGCTCCTGTAAAACACTGGCAAAGGTACGTTGTTCGACTCTCTCAGGACTAGTTGGTAGTCCTACATGTTCAGGCAGGGGCGTCTCTTCAATAGACTTTTCACTTGCTGCTACATTTTCGTTTGCTGGAGGTTGAGAGGTCACTTCTCTAGGCTCTACAATTGCTGCTTGCTCTTCGTTTGCAGGAGGTTGAGAGGTCACTTCTCTAGGCTCTACAATTACTGCTTGCTCTTCATTTGCTGAAGGTTGAGAGGTTACTGTAGCAGAAACGGCTGAAATTTTGGCAGTTGTAGTTGGTGGGTTTTCTACATTGGTTAAAGCACTTCCCATAAAGTCTAAGTCTTTGAAAATTTCTGGGTTAAAAGGGTGAATGCCCGTGCAGCTGAAACCACTTGCTGCAATATCTAGTCTACAAACTTAGGTGTAAGCTTCATTCACTAGCTTTGCGATGTCATAATCATTGATTCGAGCACCTGGATTAGCCCTCATCCACAAACTGCAAGAATAATTGTATTGTGCTTTGAACGGTTTCATGAAAGACCTATCGAGAGGCTGCATTTTGTGGGTTGTGTGGGGTGGGAAACTCAACATGTGAACATAATGTTCTCTATTATACAAAATGACGTCCAGCTCCTTGTGTGTTCCATGTCCATCGAGGAATAGCAACACAGGATCCTCTTCTGTAGGTTTCGTGAAGGCCACGAAGTGCTGCATCCACTTTAAGAATACCTCGGTGGTCATCCATCCGTTGGTAGTTGGAAAAGCTATACTCTCCGCCGGAGCACCGATCATCAGACGATCATTTATCCTTTTTCGAGGGAAAATAAAAAGTGGGGGAATAAACTGTCCAGTTATGCTCATACAGAACATGATCGTGACGTTGCGACCTCGCTCTCCTGAAGTAATTTTCCCGACCTGCCGCTTCCCTTTAATGGTAATTACCTTGTCATTTTCATGAACACAAGAAACTCCTGTTTCATCGGCGTTGAATACTCTAGAAGGTCGAAAAGAGTGCTTGTTATTCAAAGAGTTTAAATGATTAAAAAAACGGTCAACTTGAGGTTTATTAAATCCGACGGACCGCATTAGGCTGGTTGACTGCGGTTTTCTATAAGCAAGATCGGGGTGTCTCTTCATAAAACTTGTATAAAAATCTTTACCAGCCGTTTTATTTTCCCTGTTAAATCTATGTGGTAGCTTAAGAGAATTTGCCAAATCATATGCTAACTTACAAAATTCTGTTTTAGCTAGAGGCATTAACCTTGAGTCTAAATCACGGATGTGTTCCACAAGAATGTCCTCAAAATAATCTGTAAACGTTCGTTTAAAAGACCCCATCTGAGGCTTCATTTCTGTCTGCCGAGCTGCTCTAACTGATTTTATCCTCCTTTGAAGGGAAGTTCTTGGTACATTAAAATGGTTGGCTGCAGCCCTTTCTGTCATCTTGTTTTCTAGAACACTCGAAACAGCTTGTTTCATGCTTATTTCTGACCACTCCCCCACGACCTGTCCCTTCTGGCTTCTTTTTGTACTTTGGCATCTCCTTAAAATAAAAAAATACGATTTGTTTACATGGCCCATACCACCCGACGCGGGTTTGGCCCGTATCACCCGACCGACCTTGATAAATCAAACATGGCTTTAACAGAAATCGACTTCAGTTAGAGATATTTCGTCATCACAATGTATAGAGCCTTTTACGAGCTAGAATTTAATAGCAGTATGATAATTTTACAACATACCTTTAGTTGAAAAAACAGTCAATAAAAGTTATCCAAGACGGCACCTCCACCACTCAAAAATAGAAATTATTTATTATCTGCAACACCTATGCACATACGTCTGTCAAGTTCTAGCAAACGACTGAGCAACGTATAGTCTGTGATCCGAGAACAGCATGGCTCTGCCACCTAGCGGCTGTACCGAGAACCATGTGATGGCCCGTACTACCCGCTGGCCCGTAGTACCCGCAGTTCCCCTACTCTAATAAACATTTCTGTTACAGAGATCCTCTTACACAGCTCTACTCGGTCACGTATATGTACTACTCCTGCATCGGTTGCTTCATCACGATCCTCTTCGGATGGGCCGTTTCCTACTTTACCGGCAGCGAGAATGACAGATATGACGAAGAACTCATTCACCCGCTCGCTCGTAAAATGGCGAACATTTTTCCCGGTAAGAAACGAATTTATTCGCAAAAAGCCGAGTGTCTCGATGAAAAATCCGAAAAGCACGGAAAGAGTGACAGCTACATGCAACCCTCTACAAGTCTGAGTACCCAAGACCTCAAAAAAGGAAGCATTAACCCTACTTTTAGCCCGGATATGACGGATGGGTCTGTCGACGGTATTTTCAAAACGAAATTGTGATTTTTGGCTAGAGACTCGAAGGGAATTTGATTAGTAAACTTCTGTGATCTCTAGCTAGTAATATGTACTTTTTTTTCAGTGATGTGTTGATATTATGCGTTATTTTGTTACTAAGGATTTAGAATCGCCTTAATTTTTATGGAGATTAGGTATTAAAGTACTGAAGTTTCTACTAGATTATCGAATTTGTCAATGCTGTTTTGTATTGTTGTTCCTAATTCAGTACGCTTAAGTAGTGTCTATACGTGCTAGAAACTTAGCTAATTTTAATTCTTATTGGTTTAAATCATTGGATATTGATTAATTAATATGTTAGAAAATTAATTTTACACCAAGTATTAGGAAACTAAAATCCATAGAAAAATTATTTACGTGAAAGTTTTCCCCTAAAGGAAAATAGAAGTTAATAAAATAACTAGAGCGCTACTGATAATGGACAAGAAGATGAAAAGTTGACATTTTCTTTGTCAACTGTCGATTGAAATTACTATGAAAAGACGACATTACCGAGAAATGTCGCGAAATTTAATAAGATGCTCTCTAGGTTTCTAAGAAATATATTGAGGGTGCTAAGGAAGACATCTAGTTAATTTGGAATAATTAAGAAGAGGAAGACAACTTTTGAGGTAACTACTGAAAATCCTTGGTGAGAGTAAGAAAACACGAGATTATTAAGAAAGATCTCGATATTGCAAAGAAATATCTCGATGTCGCGGGTTCAATAAGAAAATTCTCGAGGTTTCTAAAAAATATATTGAGTTTGCTAATAGTAGTAATTAAGAAGGCGAAGACAATTCTTGATGTTAGTAAAGAAGCGCCTCGAGAAAACACGAGATAACTAGGAAATCTCTTGAGATTTTTAATAAATCTCTCGAGGTTTCTATTGTAGAAATAACTCAGGAATAAGTTTAGAGACTTTGACAAAATATATATTAATAATCGTTTTATTTTTACACTCAATGTCAATAAGTGACAAAATAATAAAATCAATCAAACACAATAAATATACATGGTGAATAATGGAGAATTATACTGGGCAGTTTCAACACTCTCCCTCAGTGTGTATTCTCCATTATTTTTGTACACAAATAATTTAAGGAATATCTTGATAAACGCTTTGTTAACATATCCGAAATATTTTCTTTCGATTGAATATATTCTATGTTAACATATCTATATGCTTGCTTGGTTGATGAAGAGCTGGATTTTCAGAAATATGTATTGCGGCCTGGTTATCACACAGCAATAGTATCTTGGTTTGTCCAAGAAGATCTTTTATAATATATTGCATCCAAATAGCTTGTCAACAAGCTATGCTGAGAGCCATATATTCAGACTCGGTTGTGCTTACTGCCACAGATTGCTGTTTCTTTGTAGTCCAAGATACAGGAGCCAGTCCATAAAATCCCATATATCCACTATAGGAACGTCTATCATCAATGCAACTTGCATATAAAGCGCCACTGAACATAAATATTGATGGTGAAGTTGTGTATTTATATATGTCTTCGATTTACTGATCCTCTGAGATAACGTAGGAGATGTTGAATCATATTATCATGAGTAACACGAAATTGTGATAAAAAATTAACTACAAACGTTATATCTGGTCTTGTACCGGTAGCAAGATAAAGGAGACTTCCAATTTTTGACTGGTAGCATTTTTATCGGTTCTTAGATCGCCTTCTTTCGCTTTTTGTTGCCTGAAAACCTGAATACATTGGTGTAGATGTAGGTTTGCAGTTAGACATACTATATTTCTCCAGTAATTTAAGAATATAATTTTTTTGATCTGTACATACAGAAGTTGGGCCCCACTAAATTTTGGTACACCAAGAAAATTAACTTCAAAATTATTTTGTAGAGAGTATTCAATTATTCGCGTTTTTCTTCGGTACTTCCTAATAATAATATATCGTCTACATATATTGCTAGAGCCTGTTGATAATCTGATGATACAAATAAATATGGATCTGCAATTGATTGATGTAGATTAATTCCTTTAAGAACTGATACTAGTTTATGATTCCATTGGCGTGGAGTCTGCTTTAATCCATAAAGACTTCTTTTTAGAAGACAGGCTCTCCATGGTCCTTTACTTAAAAAACCCTCTGGTATTTTCATATAGATTTTAAAGTCTGTCACCGTTGAGAAATGCAGTCTTTATATCTAGTTGTTTGACAACCATTTGTTTGTGAATTGCATGTGCCTTCTTTCTTGTCAAATCCAATTAGATATGATTTGTATGCTCTAGAACACAGTTTGCTTTCTGGTTTTTGAGTTGGAACATTAACATATGCCTTTTGCCCAAAGTATTGTAGATGGCCTATCCTTGGTTGCATTCCAAAAAATATTTCAAAGGGAGTTTTTTTATTAAATGCATGAGGAATTCTATTTTTCACATATACAGAGTGTGCTACTGACTCTGCCCATAGTGACAATGGCAAATCAGAATCAATTATATTAGTTTTAGACATTGTAGTTACAGTTATATTTAGTCTCTCTGCCAATCCATTCGTTTCGTGTATATACGGTATCGAATTTTCATGTTCGATACCGCGTAACTTAAAAAATAATTGTAAAGTTCTAGATTTATATTCACCTCCATTATCGGACTTGAAAAATTTAATATTTCTTCCTGTTTGCTTTTCAACCCTTCAACATACTCTAATATTGCTTCCAGAGCATCACTTTTTTGTTTTAAGAATTGAATTTCTGTGTAAGGGGAATATTCATCAATGAAAGAAATGTAGTATAGACTTCCACCTATTGATTTCATTGAGAATGATCCACATATATCAGAGTGAACTTTTTCTAACAAGTCTTGATACAAATTACCTGGCCTCTTTTGTTATTTTTCTAGTCATTTTTAACAGTTCACATGCGTTACAGTCTATTATGATGGACTGAATTTAAGACATTGTGTAATTTAACATGTAGAGTTGAACCATCAGGTAATAAAGCTTTAAGTTTAACTTCTCCGATATGAGTAACTTTAATCTTTTATCATTACCCAGTCGCATAAAACTTTGGTAGGGACAAAGATTACAAAATGCAGCTTTATTGCCATACATGAGACGTTGCACCTGTGTCAAATATCCATCTGTTTAATTTAGAACTGATCGTGAATGCTGGATAGGCGTGCTCGTCATCTTCTGAATCCCAAACTGTATTATTTGTTTTGTCATCTTCTTGTTTATTTCGGCAATTTATACCATTTTTTTTTCTCTTTACAATAAGTACATTCTTTTGTGTTTTATCTGCGCAAATGTTTATTTCTTCCTAAGAAAGCTTGTTCTTCTTCAGAAACAATTCTAGTAATTGGGCGCGTACATCATCATATGTTAAGTTTTGTTCGGTTTTTAGATTGTCTATTATGTTATCTAATTCCTCTGGTAAAGTTGTGAGAAAAAGTGATCCTTTTGCCTTCATTGAATGTGTTATCGGACGTAGTGAGCTTCTAGGGAATCATGTTCTTCATTGAAAGTAACTGAAGTTGATTCTACTAAACGTGACCACAGTTCATTGTATTTAGCAATAAGTTCCTGTACTTGGTATTTCTTTTCGCATCTGATTCCAACTATATATTTTACCAGAGCGTGTAGGGAGTATTCATTTTTTCGGTCAAACAGATCATTTAAAACTCTCCACATATCCCAAGAATCTGTGTAGCATGCAAAAGAATAAAAGCCCTGGATAATGAATGACGATATCTCCAATCTTCACAATTAGAAACATAATTATTTTTTTCTACTGCTTGTTTCATTTCTTCACCATTTAATATTATGTAACAGATTATGTAAATCCATGTAAAAAAAGACCATTGCTCGCCAGGAGTGGAAGTTAGGTAATCCATGAACTCTATCTTTGGGAACTTGTCCATATTTTATAATTTATTTGTAAAACAGTACGTGTCTAGTTTCTGTTAATTTTAACGTATTCTGGGCCCATAACCTGTAGAAATAACGCAGGAATAAGTTTAGGGACTTTGACAAAATATATATTAATAATCGTTTTATTTTTACAATAAGTGACAAAATAATAAAGTCAATCAAACACAATAAATATACATGGTGAATAATGGACAATTATACTGGGCAGTTTCAACATCTATGAAATATATTGAGGTTGCTAAGGAAGCTCTGTAGTTTATTTGGAATAATTGAGAAAACGAAGACAACTTTTGAGGTTACTAAAGAAATGCCTCGATAAAACTAAGAGAACACAAGTTTATTTATAAATATCTCGAGGTAGCAAAGAAATATATCGAGGTTGCTAAGATCTTTAGTTTATTTGGAGTAATTAAGAAGGCGAAGATAATTCTTAATGTTACTAAAGAAACCTCGAGAAAACTAAGAAAATACAATATTACTAAAGAACTCTCTCGAGGTTGTTAATAAATTTTTCGACGTTTGTAAGAAACATACCAAGGTTGCTAAGGAACATTTCTAGTTTATTTGGAATAATTAGAAAGAAATTCTCGAATATACTAATGAAATATACAAAAAAAACTGAGATAAGAGATTACTAAGAAATCTCTCGAGGTTTGTAAGAAATCTCTTAAATTTTGTAAAATCTCTCGAGGTTGCTAAGGAAAATTTCAATAATTATTTGCCTGGTGTTTATTGATAATAGATTTATCATAATGTATTTTGCCAATAAGATTTTGATAGTAAGAACAATTAAAAATAATTAATAACTCTTAGAACAGTCTAGTAGATACTTCTGTTCGTTAACTTATTGAATATATTTTTTTAATTTTGAAAAATGACGGTATAAGTGACGAAACTCGCTATATATGTGTATGTATTTAAGCTACTTATAAACTTTTCAATAAAAAAATAGTTGCTCATTTTTTTTTATGAGAGCATCCTTATTGTCGTGCCAAATTATGTTTGTATGTACATTTTGATATTAAACTGATTCACTCTTATAAGTACTTAACTAGAAATGTGATTGCGATATTTTTTACGTATATATTTTAAATTAAGAAAAAATAT